GTGATGTTGATTGTGACGCTAACTGAGGCTTTTGCATGTGTTGCCTACAGATGTTGTTTATTTTGCTCCATTATGTTTCTGTTGCTTTATGATGCTGCTGCTGCTTGTTGTGTTGCTGGTTGATTTGTTTTGCTAGCTGATGATATTTATGTTGATGTTATTTATATAGTTTCGTTATGTCGTTAGTGTGTGTCATTATTTTTTACTTCCTTATGCTGTTTATGTTGTTTCCTCAAATTAATGTTTGTGTTGCTATCTGATGTTGCTTTGTGTTCCTATATATATTATTCTCTTTGTTGCTGGTTGTAAATGCTATTTGAATTGTTGATTAATCTCTTTGTTTGCGTTGGTTGCTAACATTGTTTGTGTTGCTGACTGTTGCTCTTAGTAGTGTTGCTGCTCGCTGTGTGTTGCTCATATTTTTGAGATTACTCCACTGAAAGTTACACGTTGTATTTTTTTCATCACTGTTCCTCATGGTAACCTATATGTAGTTTGCATGAGTTTTTTTTAATATATTTGGCCAAGGATATCGCTTGTAACTTTTGTTTAAGATTTCTTCCTATCTATCATCAATTTCGATATACTGGTTCCATTAGTGATGTTCAAATTTATGTATCACGTACAATGTTTGTCCGTTAGTGTACGAAGTGTTGAAACTGTCTCTCGTCATTTAACAGTTCTTAACATGAAAGTGGGTAGGGAGGAAGAGATTGTGTACTCACCTATTTGTACTCACCTATTTGTGGTTGCAGGGGTCGAGTCCTAGCTCCTGGCCCCGCCTCTTCACCGGTTGCTACTAGGCCCTCTCTCTCCCCGCTCCATGAGCTTTATCAAACCTCGTCTTAATACTGTGTATGGTTCCTGCCTCCACTACGTCATTTTCTAGGCTATTCCACTGCCTTACAACTCTATGACTGAAGAAATACTTCCTACTATCTCTCTGACTCATTTGTGTCTTCAACTTCCAATTGTGGCCTCTTGTTTCTGTGTCCCCTCCCTGGAACATCCTGTCCTTGTCCACCTTGTCTATTCCACGCAGTATTTTATATGTCGTTATCATGTCTCCCCTGACCCTCCTGTCCTCCAGTGTCGTCAGGCCGATTTCCCTTAATCTTTCTTCATAGGACATTCCCCTTAGCTCTGTGTGTGTGTGTGTGTGAGAGAGAGAGAGAGAGAGAGAGAGAGAGAGAGAGAGAGAAGTGGCTACAGGGTACTTAGAGGAGAGTGAAGGCTGCCAGTTGACGTCATGTCTCTGCACTTTATCGACGTGTATGTGTGTTTTGCTTTAGTTCAGGCGTTTAGTGTTTTTCAGAGCTGACATGTGATTGCTGTGTCGATGGCTTTTCCAGGGTGTTTTAACTGTCCGGACAGTGTCTTGTTATAATTATGGTGATTTTATAATTAAGAAGCTGCGGAGAAACATTACACACTGTCAGAAAACTATTACAGATCCTCTGGCGTAAAGGATGGGGACTAAGATGAATTTTGGACGCCCCTTTGTGTTGAAGAATTAAAATAGTAGACGATAGATTCGATTTTCTTTCGTTTTGGTGTTCCAGTGATCTGGATGGAACCAGAAATATGTGTGATAACTGTTACTTATGCTCTTGTAATGCACAAGGATACAACATAACAAAAAGAAAGTTATTTAGTATCCAAAAGTGATTTAGTATCCAAGTGCCCAAGAACATGTTACTCAAACACCAGATAAAGCAATGCAATACCAGCTTAAAAGCTTGCCAGTTCTCCTCTAAACCCTGAACGAGAAAGCAGGGCGTGATGACACAGAATTCCCATGTAATAACTGTAACACTGAACCTCAAGTTTTTCTCTCGAAGTTAACTGAATGATAGAGTGAGAGATCTATAGGTCTTGCTAAAAATACTTCTCAGAATTTTGTTCCAAATTCAATGAAAAAACTTATTTGCTCTTGCACAAAATTCTCCCGGGACAAAGATTTTGTTCCATGTTTTGTTCAAGGACATTTAGTTTACTGCACAGATGTTATTGGTTTAGAAAAGTTTGGTGTGAAGTATAATGTAAGGAGATTTCTCATCGAATTTCCTAAAATAAACAAGTCTTAAAGGTAGTTTTTCTGTTTAATGTTACTAATTATTCTTGTGTTCCCTTGGGTCATTCTGAGCATCTGAAGGTAAGTTACGGAAATCTACAGCTGGTTCTTGTTAAGATTAATTACAAAAGAAGTCAGAAGGATGGGCTGTGGAGACTTAGAGGTCCTTTATATGTTCCTTGGACAACAGTTGATAATACTAAAAGTTTAAAAGTTTCGAAGATGGTGAACTATAACTAAACAAAGGTTCATGGAGATATTGAAAAGTACATCTGCCCTATTCTTAGTATTTAAAAAGTCAATCAGCTGATGAGTTGAGAAATCCTTTTTTGATCGTCTTGAAATTTTCAACACTGGTATAATTTGAAAGATGGTTGATATTTTTATTGCAGTAAGTAGAAGGTAATTCGTAACATCATTTTTAAAACTCTCCTGTAATTTTACTTTGAAATAAGATGAACAAGTCTCTATTTCAATCCTTTAATCTGAAACTAATGAGGATTTAGGCAGCATAAGGGAAAATTGCGATTTACTAACACACAAAATAAACATAAAATCATGGATTCTTTGCAAAAACTGGACAATATTATGACTAAAGGTTGAGGGACTGATTACCTCATTCTCCTCCTGTTCTTCAAGTTTCTCCTTCGTATGGACTGATGAAGCCACTGTGTGGCGAAACGTTTCCTCAATGAAGATTCCCAAGAGTTGCATATGTGTCTAATTTATCAATACTATGACTAGTCGGGTTGAAAATTTCAGTGGTGAGGCGCTTCCCTAGTTTCTCTCGAAACAGGATTGATATTGATTTTGATTGTGCTTGTTTCAATATGGCAATTTTATTAATATATTTTGGCAATAACTGGAGAATGTCTCTTCTTATGGACTTTAATTTAATCTTACTTAAAGAAATATTTGAATTGTATTGGGCAGCTTGTGTGCACATTAGCCAGTTTAATTGAAGTTAATGGGAAAATTTAAGTATAAGTTTTATTGTTATAATGTGTAAACGCCTCTTCCGAGTTCCTTCATATATTTAGCTCCGATAACTTGAATTGCAGCCTAAAAAGCGACTTCAAATTTTTAGCGTTAGTTTACATTGTGATATGTTTTCTGTGCAATTATTAGAGAATGCTATTCCAGTTTTCTTTGAAGCTTAAAAATTGGTTTATCTCAGTGAAGGATCGTATTAGTTTTGGACTTTGTTGGTGCCAATTGGCCATTTTTATTGAAGAAAAAAAAATGCGATATTAGTTTACAGGTGATAATTACAAATCCTTCTTCTGATTGGCTTCAAAGCTTCATTGCTGATAATGGAATAATGGGATTTGTGGGATTTGTGTATATCATTCTAGGATTTTGCTGCAAACTTAGTAATGTATGTGTTATTAAACGTCATCTCTTTCCATTCCTGTCTGTGAATATTTGCTTATGTGAAGTTCACTTTTGTTCTCTCTTTCGTTCTCTCTCTCTTTTCTCTATCTTTTATACAAAGGTTTTACAAGGTTGCATTATGGTTTTCTATGGTTTTCTATGTTTATTTACAAGCTACGAGCTCTTACCTACATCAGCTCATTACAAGGCCTTTTTTTTGTTATGACATATGCAAATAGGCAACAAGATTAAGTTGGAGCCAACCATTTCATATGGTCAAATGACTTTATTTTGATTATGTAGTTATGCCATACGAACTTGTTCGTTCTAGACTCTAGTCATCCTTGAAATAAATGACCTCAGATGAAGTGTTGCAAGTGAGAAGGGTACAGGTAAAATGCAACTGCGGTTTGCTACCCGTCTTTTTGTATAGAAGCTCACTTCTGGCTATCTGCAGAGAGGAGGCAAGTATGGCACCTTGACAACGTTGACCTTGTATATAACAGTAAGACCACCCACATTCCTCCGGCTCTCCTGAAATGACAGATCTGTCCAAGCCGGGTGCAGGAGAGATGCGTCGTCTTGCTCTGTTCTCTATTCTGTCAAGAAGTTGCACATGAGACCGAGAGAAAGGGCAGGCAATCCAAGAAAGTGGAGCATGCTCAGAGTGAGAGCATACTTGTTCCTCATACAAAGAGTCATGCAGCTTCCATAGCTAGGCAGATGCAAGCTTCATCTGAGTGAAGTAAGCTTACTGGTCAATTTGTTTGGAAGATTTACAATGTGGTTTTTCATAGTCATTTCGGCGTCAAATTTCACCATAAGGATAACAACTCCATTTCTCTCTCTCTCTCTCTCTCTCTCTCTCTCTCTCACCCAATTTATTAATATAAGTTCTTATCCATTTTTGTTTGTTTATAACGTTCTCTTTGTCTCGCTTTCGTCACAAAAATATTTAACTTCTGCTATTACAAGGGAATTTCAGCCCATAAAGCTTTCTATATTGTCCGTTTCTTAAGTAATAATCCGAGGAAATAGTAACTCCAGAAATGTAAATTTATGGTAATAGCCAACAAGTAGTAATAAAACAAACTTTAGTTCACGTGTACTGAACTTTCTCAAGGTTTACTTCATGTAAAGGAAATGTTATGTACATCTGTAATAAAGGTTTTTCTATTTTCCCCGTTTTTATATTACAACTCAAAAAATGCTGAAAGGAAACCTCTAAAGTTGTTGTAGCTCCGTAACCCAAAGTGTAATTCTTGATGATGTCCTCTGCACACTGTTTTAATCTCCAAGCTCAGGTAGACCCACTTCATTGTCTTATGAATACAATCCTTCAATGTTTTGAAGAATAAGGTACTATAATAGTGGTGCACTTTAGGTATTCTCTCACAGAAACTGTTGTTTACAAGTGGGTAGTATAACAAAACCCTTGTTCCTAGTATGAAACTATCATATGTAATCCAGCAGCAGAACACTGTTAATATATCCAATTTTTTTAAAAGAAAACTCCTCTTTTACTACATCACCAACTAAATCTTTTCCACAGTGCCTCCTATGTCCATCGATCTCAGGGGCGTTGATGGACCAATCTCCGCGGGAGTGGGTTTAACGATGGTGTGTATTGTGGTGGGGGCGCGACCCCCACCCACAGTAAGCTGGTGGCTGGATGGACGACCACTGAAGTCCAGCGGAGAGAGACAACTGGACGAGGGTAACGTGACTGAGAGCAAGGTGGTGATGGTAGCCACTCCTGAGGACCAGGGTCGTTACCTATCCTGCAGGGCGGAAACTCCAGGTCTGCTTCAGTCATCCCTCGAAGATGGCACCAAGCTAGTTGTTCACTGTGAGTACTTCCACGGTAACGTTTGAACCTAGATTGTTGGGGAGAGGTGTCGGATTAAAACATTATGCATCTGATATGAAATGGGAGTTAACAGTGTTGCTCTTTTTTAGTTACACAGTATCTCAGGGAAATTCTTAAAATATATTGCAATGATTACTGGTGGAGTTTGGGAGGATGGGTCCAAGAAGGAAACTAAAAATAATCCAAGAAAAGAGTAAAGTGAGGAGAGTAACAAAACTATGCATGAAGTGTTGGACTTAAGTTAGCTGGAAAGAGAATGGTGGAAATGAATGTATTTTAATATTTATATGTTAATATTTATATGTTTATATGTGTATATGTGTGTATAGATAGTAGGTTGGTAAACAGCAATTGCCCAGGGAGGTTCTACCGTCCTGCCAAGTGAGTGTAAAACGAAAGCCTGTAATTGTTTTACATGATGGTAGGATTGCTGGAGTCTTTTGTCTGTCTCATGAATATGCAAGATTACAGGTATGTCTTGCTACTTCTACTTACACTTAGGTCACACTACACATACATGTACACGCTTATTTATACACACTCATCTGAGTTTTCTTTGATTTTATCTTAATAGTTCTTGGTCTTATTACTTTTCCTTTTATATCCATGGGGAAGTGGAATAAGAATCTTTCCTCCGTAAGCCATACGTGTTGTAAAAGTCAACTAAAATGCCGGGAACAATGGACTAGTAACCCCTTTTCCTGTAAAGATTACTGAAAAGAATAAGAAGAAGAAAATTGTCAAAGTGGGAAGTCTGAATGTGCGTGGATGTTGTGCGAATGATAAGAAAGAGATGATTGTGGATGTTATGAATGAGAAGAAACTGGATGTCCTGGCTTTAAGTGAAACAAAGCTGAAGGGGGTGGGAGAGTTTCAATGGAGAGGAATAAATGGGATTAGGTCAGTGGTTTCAAATAGAGTTAGAGCTAAAGAAGGAGTAGCAATAATGTTGAAGGATAAGCTATGGCAGGAAAAGAGGGACTATAAATGTATTAATTCAAGGATTATATGGAGTAAAATAAAGATTGGATGTGAAAAGTGGGTTATAGTAAGCGTGTATGCACCTGGAGAAGAGAGAAGTGTAGAGGAGAGAGAGAGATTTTGGGAAATGTTGAGTGAATGCGTGGGGAGTTTTGAATCAAGTGTGAGAGTAATGGTGGTTGGGGATTTCAATGCTAAAGCGGGTAAAAATGTTATGGAGGGAGTAGTAGGTAAATTTGGGGTGCCAGGGATAAATGTAAATGGGAAGCCTTTAATTGAGCTATGTGTAGAAAGAGATTTGGTAATAAGTAATACATATTTTATGAAAAAGAGGATAAATAAATATACAAGGTATGATGTAGCACGTAATGAAAGTAGTTTGTTAGCTTATGTATTGGTGGATAAAAGGTTGATGGGTAGGCTCGAGGATGTACATGTTTATAGAGGGGCAACTGATATATCGGATCATTATTTAGTTGTAGCTACAGTTAGAGTAAGAGGTAGATGGGAAAAGAGGAAGGTGGCAACAACAAGTAAGAGGGAGGTGAAAGTGTATAAAATAAGGGAGGAGGAAGCTCGGGTGAGATATAAGCGACTATTGGCAGAAAGGTGGGCTAGTGCAAAGATGAGTAGTGGAGGGGTTGAAGAGGGTTGGAATAGTTTTAAAAATGCAGTATTAGAATGTGGGGCAGAAGTTTGTGGTTATAGGAGGGTGGGGGCAGGAGGAAAGAGGAGTGATTGATGGAATGATGAAGTAAAGGGTGTGATAAAAGAGAAAAAGGTAGCTTATGAGAGGTTTTTACAAAACAGAAGTGTTATAAGAAGAGCAGAGTATATGGAGAGTAAAAGAAAGGTGAAGAGAGTGGTGAGAGAGTGCAAAAGGAGAGCAGATGATAGAGTGGGAGAGGCACTGTCAAGAAATTTTAATGAAAATAAGAAAAATTTTTGGAGTGAGTTAAACAAGTTAAGAAAGCCTAGGGAACGTATGGATTTGTCAGTTAAAAACAGAGTAGGGGAGTTAGTAGATGGGGAGAGGGAGGTATTAGGTAGATGGCGAGAATATTTTGAGGAACTTTTAAATGTTGAGGAAGAAAGGGAGGCGGTAGTTTCATGCACTGGCCAGGGAGGTATACTATCTTTCAAGAGTGAAGAAGAGCAGAATGTAAGTGTGGGGGAGGTACGTGAAGCATTACGTAGAATGAAAGGGGGTAAAGCAGCTGGAACTGATGGGATCATGACAGAAATGTTAAAAGCAGGGGGGGGATATAGTGTTGGAGTGGTTGGTACTTTTGTGTAATAAATGTATGAAAGAGGGGAAGGTACCTAGGGATTGGCAGAGAGCATGTATAGTCCCTTTATATAAAGGGAAAGAGGAGAAAAGAGACTGTAAAAATTATAGAGGAATAAGTTTACTGAGTATACCAGGAAAAGTGTACGGTAGGGTTATAATTGAAAGAATTAGAGGTAAGACAGAATGTAGGACTGCGGATGAGCAAGGAGGTTTCAGAGTGCGTAGGGGATGAGTAGATCAAGTGTTTACATTGAAGCATATATGTGAACAGTATTTAGATAAAGGTAGGGAAGTTTTTATTGCATTTATGGATTTAGAAAAGGCAAATGATAGAGTGGATAGAGGAGCAATGTGGCAGATGTTGCAAGTATATGGAATAGGTGGTAAGTTACTAAATGCTGTAAAGAGTTTTTATGAGGGTAGTGAGGCTCAGGTTAGGGTGCGTAGAAGAGAGAGAGACTACTTCCCGGTAAAAGTAGGTCTTAAACAGGGATGTGTAATGTCACCATGGTTGTTTAATATATTTATTGATGAGGTTGTAAAAGAAGTAAATGCTAGGGTGTTCGGGAGAGGGGTGGGATTAAATTATGGGGAATCAAATTCAAAATGGGAATTGACACAGTTACATTTTGCTGATGATACTGTGCTTATGGGAGATTCTAAAGAAAAATTGCAAAGGTTAGTGGATGAGTTTGGGAATGTGTGTAAAGGTAGAAAGTTGAAAGTGAACATAGAAAAGAGTAAGGTGATGAGGGTATCAAATGATTTAGATAAAGAAAAATTGGATATCAAATTGGGGAGGAGGAGTATGGAAGAAGTGAATGTTTTCAGATACTTGGGAGTTGACGTGTCGGCGGATGGATTTATGAAGGATGAGGTTAATCATATAAATGATGAGGGAAAAAAGGTGAGTGGTGCATTGAGGTATATGTGGAGTCAAAAAACGTTATCTATGGAGGCAAAGAAGGGAATGTATGAGAGTATAGTAGTACCAACACTCATATATGGGTGTGAAGCTTGGGTGGTAAATGCAGCAGCGAGGAGACGGTTGGAGGCAGTGGAGATGTCCTGTCTAAGGGCAATGTGTGGTGTAAATATTATGCCGAAAATTCGGAGTGTGGAAATTAGGAAAAGGTGTGGAGTTAATAAAAGTATTAGAGGGCAGAAGAGGGGTTGTTGAGGTGGTTTGGTCATTTAGAGAGAATGGATCAAAGTAGAATGACAGGGAAAGCATATAAATCTATAGGGAAAGGAAGGCGAGGTAGGGGTCGTCCTCGAAAGGGCTGGAGAGAGGGGGTAAAGGAGGTTTTGTGGGCGAGTGGCTTGGACTTCCAGCAAGCGTGCGTGAGCGTGTTAGATATGAGTGAATTTAGACGAATGGTACTTGGGATCTGACGATCTGTTGGAGTGTGAGCAGGGTAATATTTAGTGAAGGGTTTCAGGGAAACCGGTTATTTTCATATAGTCGAGTCCTGGAAATGGGAAGTACAATGCCTGCACTTTAAAGGAGGGGTTTGGGATATTGGCAGTTTGGAGGGATATGTTGTGTATCTTTATATGTATATGCTTCTAAACTGTTGTATTCTGAGCACCTCTGCAAAAACAGCGATAATGTGTAAGTGTGGTGAAAGTGTTGAATGATGAAAACATTTTTCTTTTTTGGGGATTTTCTTTCTTTTTTGGGTCACCCTGCTTTGGTGGGAGACGGCCGACTTGTTGAAATGAAAAATGTGTATATATCAGTAGATGGGTGTTTGAAAGAACTAAGTCATATACACAAAAATCTAGTTGGAGTGTGGAACCGTGTGAGGGAGAATATTCTCATTGAAACCAAAATAAGAATATACTAAAGAAAATCGGTGCTAACAAATTTATACCAGTAAGTTGCATAGTCTTTGAACGTTTCAGTGAGGAGAAGGGTAGTGGCTAGGGGTGATAAGACGTTAGAGATGAATATATGGTGTGAATATTATACATTGAATACAGAACATGGACATTTGAGAACAGTGTTGTGGGAGGAATGGTCTGATTCAGAGGGGTGGAGGAAGGGCTCCTGTGAAAACGTCACTAGTGGTCTCTCCGTTCTTAGTACTAGAGATTGTGATGATGATTTCCCTCGACTTTGAGCAGCTATATCTTCTTCTTATGGAAGAGTTAAATAACGGAAGCAAGAAGAGAAATTCAAAGACTGAAGGGTATGTGCAAGGATTATCCTAGGAACAACGTCGTCGATGATTAGATCAACGAATGGATGCTAGGTGGAACTGAAGGGACGAAGCTGAAGCTGAGGAAGGTCCAGGAGAATGCTGTGAAAACCAGCAACTCTTTTTTGTTGTGATCAGACGAATGTGAATTGACCATCCAAGACTATCCAATGAAGACAGTTCCAACATGGACAGAGCAAAGCCAGCCAGTGAAGACATTCCAGCGAAGATCATCTCTTCAAAGACCGATGAGAACGTTATGTATATCTCCAGTCAAAGTTTGTTTTAGGTTGGAACAGTCAGGTTAAGTTTATGAATAGGGCGTTTTGTCTTAGAGATAAGAGGAGGCAGGGGATGTGTTTTTGTATCAGTGCTGGAGAGAGTGATGTTATCAAACATAGGAGTGAGTACCTGATTAGCAAGTATGGGTCAGCAATACATATAATTAGGAAGAAGGGAGATCACCCTGTGGTATGTGGCATTTTACCGAGGAGAGGAGTTGG